ATTTTCATTCTCAAACTTTGTTGGGCTCTATCCCAGGAAGCCATCAGCCAAATATGAAGATTCTATACCTTTTAGTTCTTTAGAAGAAGTCGTTTGAAGTTTTTGACATATTTGACCCCTGTGACCTTGAAAACAGGTCAAGGTCATTTTCGTTCTCAAACTTTGTAGGGCTCCTACCAACGAAGCTTTCAGCCAAATATCATGACTCTAGGCCTGTCCGTTCTTCAGAAGAAGTTGTTTAAAAGAAAAGTTGATGGACGAGGACGGACGGACGGACGACGGACGACGCGCCACGGCATAAGCTCACTTGGCACTTCGTGCCAGGTGAGTTAAAAAATATATTACATACGTGGTATGCCCTGAACAAAGTGATAATGAAGGTTTGACGGACAGACAGAGTGCAAACCTATAGTATCTGCTGAGGACCAAATAACAATCATGTATGCAGTCTACATAAATCAAGTCTTGAGCAGAATTTAGTTATGTTCTATGTAAGTCAATGAACCAATGAGTTAAAATGGAAAACAATGAGTTAAAATGGGAAACAATGAGTTAAAATGGGAGACAAAGTCTTTTTTGTTCACACAAACCTTGTTCCAGTGTTTTTTGAGCCTCAGTCGCAAAGAAAATGTACGGCTCATCCACCGTGAAAATGGCCCAGGATTTGGACTTGAAATTGATTCCATGAAAGCAGGCTAGCGAGAGGTTGTTCCCGCGGAGCTCCATGTTTCCTCCGAGGATCGTGCCTTCCTTTGGGATGATGGTAGGAAGCATACTGAAGCGACAACCTGACACAAGCTCCAAGGCCTTCTGCCAGTGGCGGTGGTGACGGATGTCCCAACCTGATAATAAGAAAACAAGCTTCTGGAATCTACATGATATGTGTGTGATAATAAGGACATATTTCACTGCTCGATAAATAATCAATAACTCCAGAAATTAAAATATCTTGTAAACAATTTATCATATTAAAAAATTGACACATATTACCATTGTTCTTTTAGAGAATTCAAATATACCCAATTTTAACATTCACCAAAAAAACTGAATTTTTTACTGTTCTTCAAATATCTAATTTTTCAGAATTTCAACCATAATGGAGCGTAAATAAATATTTTTTTGATGTTTTGAATTTGCAGTTGACTGGCCTTTCAAACTAAATACATATATTTTCAAAATATATATAATCTACATATTACATGTTAAATAAAAAGGTAGATTATCAAAACTAGTTGAGGCGATGACAAAAATGTATTCAAATTATCCCTCAACTTATATATATACAATGTATTTGATGATACCTGTAAGCTCATAGTTCATTTTTTAGAAAATTTCACATGGTGAAATAACCTCATATAGCACAACCTCACAAGTATCACTGCTTCCACCAAATTATCTACCTATCATAGAAATAAATCATCTATCTTATCCAATCTGTGAGAACTGGTTAGAATAATGAATATTGCAGATAATCTTGCAAGTTTATTGTCAAACACTTTGTACTCAGTGAATCTTATAGATTATACAAACCCCTTTATTTGATATAAATAACAACCAATAACCACCTTTTTGATAGTGACATTCTGTGTAAATTATTAACCAATTTTACAAAAGCACAATATAATGTAACTTCTCGTCTAGACAGTAAAACCTCAATATAATGCGCCTCGTTCAATTTGCCACCTCACTTACTGCCAACATATTTCAAGGTCCCTTTTTTGCTTTTTCTTAAGAATTCCCATATATATTTCCCTCAATTTATAATCAAACCCCTTTATAATGCCAGAATTTCTCTGGACACATGGTCGCAGTATAACAAGGTTTTACTGTACACAATTAATTTTAAACTACATACTCTCCTGTTCCTCCATCAACTTTCGCCTCTCACTGATTCGCGTCTTGCTGCCGCCTGGGATCGGTCCGAAGGCAGACAGCACCCTCTTACTGCTGGTGAACTGCATGGTGACGAACTCTTCAATCTTGGCGATCATCTTGATGATGTCCGGCGTGGTTGAGCGAGACAGCATCAGGTGGAACTGGTCCCAGCGCAAGTCGCCGTGGGCAAACAGGAACGCAGGGCTGTAGGGAAACAAACATCCATTAGAATCACAGAGGCAAACTAACAATCGATATGGGTTTACCCATGTATGCAAATACAGTTACCAATTCTATTTATAGCAAAATACTAAGAATCTAACCTTATCTATCTTTACAGTCTCGACTAGAACTGTTATCCAGAGGCTAACTAATATCTGTCCTCCCTTGAAATGGGCTGAAATGAAACAAAATGAACTAGAGATTTGTTTTTGTGAACAAAAAAGTATGTCTACCTTTTACCATTTTAAAAGTTAAGGGCCGACAAGATATTCCTGAAAAATTCATTCAACCTTTGAACTTGAGGTCAAGGTCACAGTGACCTAATGACAGCGCACTGTACATCGTCTGGGTTATGCAATATACTGCAAGTTTCATCAGGATATCTTTAACTATGCAATTTTTTTACCTTATTATTAGAGGAATTTCCTACTGGTAATTATAAAATGCATACATGAACAAGTTCTAATTGTAATGGGGACCATTACAAAAATCCTCAAAACTGACCCCATAGTCGCAAATGATGCTTGGATAGAGTTTACAATGGCATCATAATTATACTTGCATACTAAGTTTAAGCAAAAATTAGATACAGTTAGGGACAATTGTCATCACCTTGGTGTACACCTTTAAATGTTTGAAACAGTCAGGCTTTTTTTACTTTCACCTTGAGGTATAGGCAACAGTTACTCAATGACACTGCATTGCACATCATCTGTAGGTGATGCAAAGTTTCAAGATATCTTTAATGGTTTAAAAGTAACAGTCTCAGATAAACATGGTTAGCGGATTTATCCTGCACAACACACCTACATATATATATATATATATTTACAAACTACATTTTGAATACATTTATTTTAGAAGAATGAATTTTTTTTTCCAAAAAGTGTTTTCCCTAGATTTGGTATTTGTGAAAAGATGCCAAAAAAATGCAAAAAAAACATGTTTTTTAACCCAAAATTTGACCCACGCAAGTAGTATTTTTTTTCTTAAAACCTGTCTTAAATTAAATATCACCTACTCGGTAACAGAAATACTAACGTGTTAGCATAGGTCGTTCAACTGGGTTTTTCACATTATTTACACATGTGCTGAGTACAAAAATAGACTACATGAAAAGCTAGGTTTTGTTGTGTCAACACAGATTTGTAAGTGGCCAAAAATGTAGTCTCAAACAAAATTCAATTTCTTTTTGTTTTTAAATATGAAGCCCACATAGTCCACTTCATCATGTATATGCCAATTTTATTGCTGATTTGTTTTTTAAACTTTGATACATGTAATATTACATGGATTATTCATTGTACAAAAATATCACCCACCGTACGCTACTGTACACTGCTACCTCATCAAACGATAAGAATTTTAAAATATTGGTTAATGTTCCCTTTGGGGCCCCGCCCTAGCCCCTAAGTAAAAATAATTTCCTACAGAAAATTGTCAAAATATACCAAAAAGTGTTATTTCCCTATATAAACTACGGTAAACGTTAACCCCTCTCCGAGGGAGAATTGATAGCTCAGGGGTCCTGAAATTTACAATTTAAACAAAGCACCTGATGATCTTTCTTTCCATGCAGAGAAAATGGGTAAGAAGATTTTTGAAATATTGATTTATTTATTTTCCTTTTGGGCCCCACCCTGGCCCCAGGGGTTGGGGTAGGAATCCCAATTTTACAATTTTGTAGCCTCATCTACCAAGGATGATTTTGACCAAGTTTGAAAAAAGTTGAAAATGTAAAAAGTTTACGCATGACGACAGACGGAAAGCAATCAGAATAGGTCACTTGAGCAAAGCTCACGTGACCTAATAAATACTACTTGGATGCAAAACATCAGAAATTATTTTTTTGTTTTTTAAATCTCAATCAAAAGCTTTTTAACTAGTCTTGCACTGTCAGCTTTAATAAGAAAGTGGTTTCACTGTTTCACGGTGGCAAGGAAAGTAAGAACATGGCCTCACTATCTGTTAGTCAGGAGTGAAAGTAGATAAGAATAAGGAAACTGTCTCACCGTTTGGTGGCCAGTGGTGTATCCAACTCAGTGTCGGTGTCAACGTGCCACTCGTCCTTGAGGGTAGTATCGAGGGAGCTAAGTCTCGCCATCAGTACACTAGTACCCATGTAATCCAGCCTAATCTCTGTAGCCTCCAGCCCCAGGCCTGCCTTGTGGTTCGGCTCCTTTCCTAGCTCGGGGTCCTCATTCACTTCAACTGTACACAAACATAGCCATAAAGTGTTCAGCATGTGACATTGCTCAAATGTTAGAAACAAAAAAACTTTTTTTTACAGCCTTCCCATCATGCAATGTGAATCACTCTATATTCTTACAACAATATCACATTGATAAATACCCTGACCCCCTGCCAAGAAGTCAAGTGTCACCTTTGACCCTTTATCCTTGTCCAATGACCACCAAATACCTAAGAATGGTACTTGATGGTATCATACTATGGTGTAAGTATAGCTTAATCTGTTAAGGGGTTCATGAAATATCTTGTACACAAGCAGAAACTTTTTACTGATTGGTGAGATATCTGGTACACAAGCTTTATTACTTCCTCTGGTCTAAACATAAACTAAATCTGCTGAGGGTTTGGTGAGATATCTTGTACACACACTTTATTACTTCCTCTGGTCTAAATATAGACTAAATCTGCTGAGGGATTGGAGAGATAAATAGAACACAAGCTTAATTACTTCCTCTGGTATAAATATAAACTAAGTCTGCTGGGGGATTGTTGAGATATCTTGTACACAAACATTATTACTTCCTCTGGTCTAAATCTAAACTAAACCTGCTGAGGGATTGGTGAGATGTCTTGTACACAAACTTTATTACTTACTCTGGGCTAAATTTAAACTAAATCTGCTGTGGGCTTGGTGAGATATCTTGTACACAATGACAATACTATATTACCTGCTTAAGGTAATGGGTTTGTGTTACCATTTCTCAGTAGATTTTCTTCAAATTTTGTAGTTATATTACTTTAAAGTAAAGACTAAATCTGCTGAGGGATTGGCGAGATATCTTGTACACAAACTTTATTTCTTCCTCTGGTCTAAATATAATCTAAATCTGTTGAGGGATTGGTGAGATATCTGGTACACAGGCTTTATTACTTCCTCTGGTCTAAACATAAACTAAATCTGCTGAGGGATTAGTGAGATATCTTGTACACAAGCTTTATTACTTCCACTGGTCTAAATATAAACTAAAGCTGCTGAGGGATTGGTGAGATGTCTTGTACACAAACTTTATTACTTCTTCTGGTCTAAATATAAACTAAATCGGCTGAGGGATTGGTGAGATATCTGGCACACAAGCTTTATTACTTCCTCCGGTCTAAATATAAACTAAATCGGCTGAGGGATTGGTGAGATATATTGAACACAAACTTTATTACTTCCTCTGGACTAAATATAAACTAAATCTGCAGAGGGATTGGTGAGATATCTGGTACACAGGCTTTATTACTTCCTCTGGTCTAAATCTAAACTAAATCTGCTGAGGGATTAGTGAGATATCTTGTACACAAGCTTTATTACTTCTTCTGTCTAAATATAAACTAAATCTTCTGAGGGATTTGTGAGTTTTCTTGTACACAAACTTTATTACTTCTTCTGGTCTAAATATAAACTAAATCGGCTGAGGGATTGGTGAGATATATTGAACACAAACTTTATTACTTCCTCTAGTCTAAATATAAACTAAATCTTCTGAGGGATTTGTGAGTTTTCTTGTACACAAACTTTATTACTTCTTCTGGTCTAAATATAAACTAAATTTTCTGAGGGATTGGTGAGATATCTTGTACCCAAACTTTATTACTTCCTCTGGACTAAATATAAACTAAATCTGCTGGGGGATTGGTGAGATATCTTGTACTCAAACTTTATTACTTCCTCTGGACTAAATATAAACTAAATCTGCAGAGGGATTGGGGAGATATCTTGTACCCAAACTTTATTACTTCCTCTGGTCTAAACATAAACTAAATCTGCTGAGGGCTTGGTGAGATATCTTGTACACACACTTTATTACTTCCTCTGGTCTAAATCTAAACTAAACCTGCTGAGGGATTGGTGAGATAACTTGTACACAAACTTTATTACTTACTCTGGGCTAAATTTAAACTAAATCTGCTGTGGGCTTGGTGAGATATCTTGTACACACACTTTATTACTTCCTCTGGTCTAAATCTAAACTAAATCTGCTGAGGGATTGGGGAGATATCTTGTACACAAACTTGATTACTTCCTCTGGTCTAAATATAGACTAAATCTGCTGAGGGATTGGAGAGATAAATAGAACACAAGCTTAATTACTTCCTCTGGTCTAAATCTAAACTAAATCTGCTGAGGGAGTGGTGAGATATCTGGTACACAAGCTTCATTACTTCCTCTGGTCTAAATATAGACTAAATCTGCTGAGGGATTGGGGGGATATCTGGTACACAAGCTTAATTACTTCCTCTGGTCTAAATATAAGCTAAATCTGCTGAGGGATTGGGGGGATATCTGGTACACAAGCTTAATTACTTCCTCTGGTCTAAATCTAAACTAAATCTGCTGAGGGATTGGTGAGATATCTTGTACACAATGACAATACTATATTACCTACTTAAGGTAATGGGTTTGTGTCACCATTTCTCAGTAGATTTTCTTCAAATTTTGTAGTTATATTACTTTAAAGTAAAGAAAATTGTCTGCCAAAAAAATGTATAGGTTGTCAGAATTTTAAGGATTTTAAATGGAAATATATGTAAAAAAAAAATGAAAGACACAATTTTTTGCAAAATAATGTCAATAAAAATGATACTGCCATAGATTAGTATTGCATTAATGTATATCAATTTAATAAATGCTGAAATTGTGTAAAATAAATTATCTATAAACGATTAAAAATTTACATTTTATAATAAAACCATATACACATAGTAATTGCATGTAAGAGTTATCTTTCTTGAAAAACTTCACAGTAGTGAAATAGGTTGCCGGTTTCCATAAGTACAGAAAAATGGACACATGTGACTCAGTGATTAAAAAAACAACTGAATTAATGCCTGGATTGCTTTGAAATACTTAAATATTGAGAGAACACATTGTTTTGTCAATAACAAACGTACAATATTCATCACAACTCTAGACTATAGAATATGAGGAAATTGTGATACTGTCTCCCTACATTGGATTTTCAACTAGGGATGTACTTCCTATTTCTGTTAATCAATACACTCATTCGACCTTAAGTTGGAAGGGTAGGGTGGGTGTTAGAACAAGAGGCCAACAGGGCCTGTATTGCTTATCTGTTTCTTTTATTACCTGAATCAAAGCCCCCAGGGAAGCTTCACTGTTCTCTTATACAATATCTGACTACCTCGTTTCATGAACCAAGGTTGCTTCATTGAATGTTCATGAAAATTGTAAGGATATTTTATCTACAATTTCATCCAGGGATGACTGCCAATATGTTTGATGACTATGTTCAACTTACAGAATACATTGAGGTTGTTGAGTTCAACAGTGCCACCGACCACACCGCCTCGGGAGTCAAAGTGAGAACTGTCCATCCCGGAACAGATCTTGAGGTCACGATGGCCGCTACTGTCGATGGACAGACGTCCATCAGTCTTTATCTTCTGGGTGGTCCAGCTGTTACATAATACAATGTATCACTTATTTGAGTGATTTGTTAAAAAAAAAAGCTCTAGCTCATTACTAACTCTAGTTTAACACTTATTTTGAATGTACCAGAGGTCATTATTTTGCAATACCTCCACTACGGGTCGAAACCTGGGACCTCTGGTCTACTGGTAGGCTGTCAATTGAGCCAAATAAAAAATTCTCCCTAGCCTGAAAGTTATTTGGAAGCAACTAATGTTTTCGCAGGGTGACCTTCCAGGAAAAGAACTCGGATTCTGAGTTTTTTAGGGGCAACAGCAATGCTTGTGAGAGCTAGGCTGAGTATTTTTGTGAATATTTCCTAGGTCCCTACAGTGACACCAATGTAACAGAGGTTTACCTATTATTTTTCAACACCTCCATTATGGGTCAAGGTTTGGACCTCTTGGTTACCAGTCTTATGCTCAACCAAATGAGCCGAAGAGAAACTCTCCCTAGTGGTATCAGTAGGAATGGCAGCTTTCTGAAGGTGTCTCTCAAACTGCTTTCTATTTTGGTTTATATAGCACTAACTTTGACTTAGACAATGTTTAACAACATCTACTTGTCCTTTACATTGTAAATTGTGGCAAAGTGTTGCTCATTACAGTATAACATGGTTACCAACACACTTATCCATAATTCATACTTGCAACAAATCATAGTTCTGTCCTTTGACATGACATTTTTCCGTGAATATAAAATGCTATAGCAAACATTGTCTATAGCAATTTATCACATATCTGACCCATTTTCCTTTGTCATACGGTCATGTCATAAATTTGATAGCACACATAATGAAACCTAGATGTACTTACATGGTGTTGCCCATTACATTACTCATGTTGACGTTTAGATCAAGTCTAGACAGGTTCACAGCAAACAGCACGAGGGTTTCCCAGGAGCTCTGTGGCTTGGCTGGCACCTGACCCGAGGCGTGACGTCGAGACCGTGGCGTATCTGAAGAAATGCTTGATCTCGACTTGACCGTGGGGCGAGAAATCGGGGTGGGCGGTATCTCCAGACCAGTCATTAGGTCAGAGGGCGATTGTGGGGCAGAGACAGATGCTATAAACAGAATGAGTAATGTTTTATATTTTTTTTGTAGTGGAAATTTTCATACTGAATGATATATAGCAATATGTTTCATAGTACGTAGATTCATTCTTGAGTTCATATTTTTGCTCCAAATTTATCCTGTTCATGTATTATATATATACAGTACACACATGTGCTTTTTCATTATTAATATATGCATTTAAAAAATATTTACTTTACTTCATATTTGATATTTTTTTGCTCTAAATTTATCATGTTCATGTATTATATACAGTACACACATGTACTTTTTCATTATTAATGTATGCATTTAAAAAATACCTATTTTACTTCATATTTGATATTTTTTTTAAAGTTATTTAACATTTCTTATTGAACATAATTACATGCATAGACATGCCATAACTTTATTAGTTAGTTGCACACAACAATACAATTTTTCTGTATTTAAATAAAAAATTGTTTGAATAAGTTGATACATAATAACCATTTAAAAGATTATCAAATTAAATCAATAACAAAAATCATCAAAGCACCTCAAACAAACAAGAATACCAATCATTACGACTCTCCTATCATAACTAGGACATAATTGATGAAAGTCACAAGTTTCTGTTAATTGAATGAAAAAAATGGAAAAAAATTGACAGAAAAGGCACCCCAGTTAAAGGCTTGTAATACTTGAGGTGTAAAAAGAAGGGTAAATAAAGCATGCAACCATCTATCACAACACAGATACTTAACAAATTTCGGGAACACTCATTTTTTTCTGGGCTTAGGAAAAACTATGCTATCACAGTTACTCAACAAGAACGAATTTGAAGTATATAATTTGGGGAATATTGCTACCTACTTACATCATTCAATAATATTTTCTGTAACTGGGAAAGTTGTTTTTTTCGATGTAAGCTATGTTAAAATCTTAACAGTAACTTGTTTAAACTTTCAATTTCTTTTTCGTGGTAGATACTGTGACCCAGAACAAGACCCTGTCCTAAACAGTGCCAGTAGCCGAAAGAAAAACTGGCATCGTTCAAGGGGTAGAGGTAGAGTTTTATCACACATGGTGACTTAAATATCATTTCATTCATAAATAGGACAATACCAGAAGAATTGTTGTACGAAAATATATTTTCAACACTTTTTATATAAGCATTTCTATCAGTACAAAATAACTGATACAATTTGTGTTTAATGCAACGTTGTCCCTGTTGTTAATTAATTTTTAGTAAATGCTGTTAGTGTCACGCCTATCACCAACACCTAGCGGTTCAGCACACCTCTACGGCCTGATTTGCGGGCAATCTCATTCTGGAGTTCCGTGCTAATCTGTATTTTGAGCTTGTCTCCTGAGGAGCCTCGCCGATGGTGGGTTCGGACCCGCGGCTCGGCCCCTCCAAGGTGAAGCGAGGGTGAGGATGTAAACAGCTTCGCCACGGGGCTGCGGGGCAGCGAGTCCCCTAGAGAGCTAGCATTGGAAGAGCTTTCCCAGTCTGAAATGGCAACACAACGCAAACCAAAAATAAACCAAAAGCAACGTACTGTAGCACAATAACACAATTCCTGTAGCACAATAACACAATTCCTGTAGCACAGGATATCGAGTGATAGCACATATATGGGTGCAACAATGTTCCTTGGAAAAAACTGCTCAAAGAACTTATCTTAAAAGAAATAAAATTGATAAAATACTGTTTATGGAAAAATACTGATACTTTATTAAAGAAACACATTTTTTGGTTTTTGTTTTTGTTTATCTATTGACATAGTTATTACAAAATATGATGTCCAAATTGTTTTTAAATATTAATAATAAATACAGCCTTCACTCAACATCCGTTGGAGGGACAAAAACCATACAAATAAACAGGATCAAATAGGTCAAAGCACAGTCAGCTTACAGTGATAAACATAAGCTAGATGATACCATTAACTGAACTAAAATTTCAAGTTGCTTTGAAAAACTGGCCTTGGCTTACTTGGGAAAGGAATCAATCGACGAACAGCACCATATATGGACATATTGAAAAGTAACTGCCCATATTTAGAATTGTTTAAGCTAACAATACAGTAGAACCAAAACTTTTAAATTCAACACAACAAAACTGTCACATTGAAAAACTTTAAAACACAAGTGTTCTCCCAAGTTTCAAACAGCAATTTGTGAAAATGAATCCTTTAAAACTGTTTTTTATCAGGGAATCCGAAGATAGCTTGGGCTCTACTTGGTGAATAGACAAACATTTTACTTTGAATAAAGTCTTAAACAAATGAGGAAAAATCATAAAAAGGGAACTAGCTGGAAAACCATTTCAACTTCATGGCAGACATGTTTGACATCTAATTAGAAATTAAAATCCTGGACTAAAAGACCAAAACATCATGTGATAATTTGGTTTTATGTAACCTAGTCGTGTAACTCAAATACTCATTTACCGATGCATCACTATGGAATAAAATCTAAATGAAGGTCATTTGCAAAAAAAATCAGTTTGGGTATAAATAAGATGGAGTTTGTCGAGGGAGGACATATAAAATTTGAGCAATACATCTGTATATGGCTTTGAATTAACAGTGTTATTTTGGCATTTTGTAAGGAAATTAATAATTGCTCAGTAAAAATTTGCAAAAAAAAGGTCTGTCTGTTGTCTTTTATTTACAATGAAACTGGCCCAAAACAAGAGGCCCAGAGAGCCTGTATCGCTCACCTGGATATCAAAGTAATCATTGCAAAATATTCTCCAAATAAGATCCAAGGGAATGGGCCAGACCTCAAGGCCAATCCTTGTAGCATATCTGTATCAATTTTGTATGCCAAGCTATTTTATGTATGGTTATGGGGTGGGGTTCTCAACTGTTTCCAAGGTGTGACTCAGAAACTAGGTCCCTAGGGTTGTGGCCAGACCCGAGGATCAATAATAATATCATAAGTGCATTCGTCTCTTTATGCCCAGCATTTGTATATATAGTTTTGGGGTGGGGATCTCAACCGTTTCAAAGTTATGACCAAAGGGTTAAGTCTCCAAGGGTGGGGCAGACCCTGGGGCCATCCTTGAAGCATATGTACATTCGTCTCTATATACTCAGCAATTGTATATATGGTTATAGGTTTGGAATCTCAACTGTTTCCAAGCTGTGACTCAGAAACTAGGTCCCTAGGGGTTTAGCCAGACCCCAGGGTCTATTCTATTATCATGACTGCATTCGTCTCTTTATGCCCAGCATTTGTATATACATTTTTGGGATGGGGATCTCAACCATTTCAAAGTTATGACCAAGGGACTATGTCTCCAAGGGTGGGGCCAGACCCCAGCGCTATCCTGGAAGCATATGTGCATTCTTCTCTTTATACTCAGTAATTGTATATATGGTTTAAGGGTGGGGCTCTCAACCATTTCCTAGTAATAAACTATTTTTGGCCCCACGCTTTAGCCGAGGGGGTCAGCGCTAGCCCCACCATTTGTATAATTTTTAATCCCTGCCTCCCATGAATGCTTCCAATCAAATATGATTGATATCCAGTGCATTGTTCTACAGAAGAAGTCGTTTATAACAGCCCCACCATTTGTAAAATTTTGAATCCCCACTACCTAGGGATGCATCCAGTCAAATATGGTTGATATCAATCTCTTAGTTCCAGGGAAGAAGTCATTTAAAGCAATATAGCCAAATAACCCTTTTTGGACCCACCCCTTATCCCCCTAGGGGGTTAGCCACACCATTTGTACACTTTTAAATCCCCGCCTCCCATGAATGCTTCTGAACAAATATGATCGATATCCATTGCATAGTTCTACAGAAGTTGTTTATAGCAATATAGTCAAATTGCCCCCTTAGGGCCCCGACCCTTAACCCCCGGGGGGGTCAGCCCCATCATTTGTACAATTTTGACTTCCCCTACCTAGGGATGCTTCCAGTAAACTATGGTTGATATCCATCTCTTAGGTCCAGAGGAGTAGTCGCTTAAAGCAATATAGCCTCCTGGGGGTCAGCCTCACGATTTGTACATTTTGAATCCCAACTACCTAGAGATGTTTCCAGTCAAATATGGTTGATGTCCATCTTTTAGTTGCAGAGAAGAAGATGCTTAAAGCAATGTAGCCAAATAACCCTTTTTGACCCCACCCCACAGCCCCCTTGGGGGTCAGCCCCACCATTTGTACAATTTTGGATTTCTGCCTCCCATTGCACAGTTCTACAAAGGTAGTCGTTTATAGCAATATAGCCAAATTGTCCCCCTTTGGCCCCGCCCCTCAGCCCTCTGGGGGGTTAGCCCTACCATTTGTACAATTTTGAATCCCCATCACCTAGGGATGCTTCCAGTCAAATTTAGTTAAATTCCAATCAGTGGTTAAGAAGAAAAAATCGTTTGAAGAAATTGTTGACGTACGGACGACGGACGCCACGGAATGGCAAAAGTTCACCTAGGACCAGGTGAGCTAAAAATGACCTGAACCTATTTATAAAACTATGAAGTTTATACATGTATGCGTATGTCTCCAGTTGATCAGTTTCATATTGTTATTGCCCCAGCAACAATGTTATTGATGGGGGGTATCCTCGGTCTTTTGTCTTGAACTTGTTCTTAGAATAATTTGTGGAACTGGAAATTTTCACTGCAGTGTTTAATTCACTGTTTAATCCCTATGCAAAAAGCGTGGAAATTTCACTGATGTGAAAATAACTTTGTCTACAGTGAATCGTTATAAAGATACAGGAATACGGAAAATTAAATGATATGGTATATTACAATATTTTACAAAAGATGAATCCAGGAAGCCAATGTTCTGATAACATACAAAATCAACATTTTAATTATTTACAAACTTTTGCTCCATATGTCAAGTAGCTTTATATATGAAGTTTAAAGAATGCAGTGGGCTTAACCAAAACATGAGCTCATCACAAATAAATATGGTGCCAAAATAAAAAGGACCAAATTTTCAACACAAAAATTATAATGAAATGAACATTAAGCAAATGATGCCCAGGGAATGTGGAGAACAAATGTACACAAATACAACAAAGAAATTCACAATAATTCATGCAAATAGGGCGAGTCATCCACACCAACAAACCTGTTAAAACATGAGCAGACGGCACTGCAATGGAATCATCGACAATTATACTCAAATTCAATCATATTTTATCTTATAGAATAAGAACATCTCACCTTCCAAAGTTTACCATAAGCTTGTGTTTACCTTCTCATGGAACATATCACCTCCCAAAGCTTACCATAAGCTTGTGTTTACCTACTCATGGAACATCTCACCTCCCAAAGCTTACCATAAGCATGTGTTTACCTACTCATGGAACATTTCACTTCCCAAAGCTTACCATAAGCTTGTGTTTACCTACTCATGGAACATTTCACCTCCCAAAGCTTACCATAAGCTTGTGTTTACCTACTCATGGAACATTTCACCTCCCAAAGCTTACCATAAGCTTGTGTTTACCTACTCATGGAACATTTCACCTCCCAAAGCTTACCATAAGCTTGTGTTTACCTACTCATGGAACATTTCACCTCCCAAAGCTTACCATAAGCTTGTGTTTACCTACTCATGGAACATTTCACCTCCCAAAGCTTACCATAAGCTTGTGTTTACCTACTCATGGAACATTTCACCTCCCAAAGCTTACCATAAGCTTGTGTTTACCTACTCATGGAACATTTCACCTCCCAAAGCTTACCATAAGCTTGTGTTTACCTACTCATGGAACATTTCACCTCCCAAAGCTTACCATAAGCTTGTGTTTACCTACTCATGGAACATTTCACCTCCCAAAGCTTACCATAAGCTTGTGTTTACCTACTCATGGAACATTTCACCTCCCAAAGCTTACCATAAGCTTGTGTTTACCTACTCATGGAACATTTCACCTCCCAAAGCTTACCATAAGCTTGTGTTTACCTACTCATGGAACATTTCACCTCCCAAAGCTTACCATAAGCTTGTGTTTACCTACTCATGGAACATTTCACCTCCCAAAGCTTACCATAAGCTTGTGTTTACCTACTCATGGAACATTTCACCTCCCAAAGCTTACCATAAGCTTGTGTTTACCTACTCATGGAACATTTCACCTCCCAAAGCTTACCATAAGCTTGTGTTTACCTACTCATGGAACATTTCACCTCCCAAAGCTTACCATAAGCTTGTGTTTACCTACTCATGGAACATTTCACCTCCCAAAGCTTACCATAAGCTTGTGTTTACCTACTCATGGAACATTTCACCTCCCAAAGCTTACCATAAGCTTGTGTTTACCTACTCATGGAACATTTCACCTCCCAAAGCTTACCATAAGCTTGTGTTTACCTACTCATGGAACATTTCACCTCCCAAAGCTTACCATAAGCTTGTGTTTACCTACTCATGGAACATTTCACCTCCCAAAGCTTACCATAAGCTTGTGTTTACCTACTCATGGAACATTTCACCTCCCAAAGCTTACCATAAGCTTGTGTTTACCTACTCATGGAACATTTCACCTCCCAAAGCTTACCATAAGCTTGTGTTTACCTACTCATGGAACATTTCACCTCCCAAAGCTTACCATAAGCTTGTGTTTACCTACTCATGGAACATTTCACCTCCCAAAGCTTACCATAAGCTTGTGTTTACCTACTCATGGAACATTTCACCTCCCAAAGCTTACCATAAGCTTGTGTTTACCTACTCATGGAACATTTCACCTCCCAAAGCTTACCATAAGCTTGTGTTTACCTACTCATGGAACATTTCACCTCCCAAAGCTTACCATAAGCTTGTGTTTACCTACTCATGGAACATTTCACCTCCCAAAGCTTACCATAAGCTTGTGTTTACCTACTCATGGAACATTTCACCTCCCAAAGCTTACCATAAGCTTGTGTTTACCTACTCATGGAACATTTCACCTCCCAAAGCTTACCATAAGCTTGTGTTTACCTACTCATGGAACATTTCACCTCCCAAAGCTTACCATAAGCTTGTGTTTACCTACTCATGGAACATTTCACCTCCCAAAGCTTACCATAAGCTTGTGTTTACCTACTCATGGAACATTTCACCTCCCAAAGCTTACCATAAGCTTGTGTTTACCTACTCATGGAACATTTCACCTCCCAAAGCTTACCATAAGCTTGTGTTTACCTACTCATGGAACATTTCACCTCCCAAAGCTTACCATAAGCTTGTGTTTACCTACTCATGGAACATTTCACCTCCCAAAGCTTACCATAAGCTTGTGTATACCTACTCATGGAACATTTCACCTCCCAAAGCTTACCATAAGCTTGTGTTTACCTACTCATGGAGATACATGTAATTGAAGCTGGCAAGGGACAATTTTAAAATTATCATGGAAAAAAATTCTTCAAAAATGTCAAGAAATAGCTGCCATCTTGGCTTGACTGTTCAAGCAATGAAACACAACTGGCACCATGTTGATATTTGTTATAGATATCGAATATACATTTTAGACAATTGCTCATCCCAAAATCTATATTTGATGTACAAATCATTTTAATGGCACCACTATCAAGGCTGTAACATAAAGGACTAATTCCCCTGGGGCAGGCAAGACACCTTGAGCAAATTCCAGTAGCATAATGTGTATTAATCTCTTTTGGTCAGGTGAGCTAAAATCCTAAAACTCTGACAGAGAGAAACATATGACAATCAAGAAAAGAAGTACAATTATTATGGTGACGTTATAAATTTTCTGTGTGACATTTACCTTCCTCTGCAGCCTGGACGTAGCTGTCGTCACCCAGAAACAGTCGTCGTGCCAGATTACGACGGTACCATGCTTTAGGGAAACTAAGGATTTCTGAGAGCCGTCTCATGTCATACTTGAATGCTGCCGTACCAATATCTATGATGCCTACAAAAAAAGTAAAAAAAGTTTAATCGGCAAGCTTTTAAAAAAATGAAAATATGTATTGAATAAGAGATACTAGGTATGTGCAGTTTTTGTCAAAAGATAAATGCCAATGGTGATAGGTAATTAATGATTATTTTTGATAGCTTGCTCTGTTCTGGTGTAAAATTAAAAAAATCGATTTACCTTGTCTTAGAAAAATATGAAAAATATAGATACAGACAGAAAAAAACAATCAAACTTTATATGCCAGTGCTCCGTAGTTTGGGATGCTTTGGATGTGCTTAAATAAAAAAAAAAAAAGGCTTGCGGAGAGAATGAGCCAAACTTAAACACACCCATATTGTTGCTACATCCGGATATTGGCAGACACTCTTCTAATTAATTAAATTGCTAACTTCCATGGGCTATATTTTTCATGCAAATGAAACTTGAATTACTTAATTTTCAGAGGTTGTGTGATTGGCCTCTGGAACTATAATTTGACTTATTCCTAACATGCCTATCCGACACCCTGGGCCAGGAACCATCATAGCCTGCCACAGGTTGTGTGATTGGCCTTTGGAATTATAATTTGACTTATTCCTAACATGCCTATCCGTCACCCTGGGCCAGGAACCATCACAGCCTGCCACAGGTTGTATGATCGACCATTTGAACCACAATTTGACTTATTCATAACATGCCTACCTGAGAACCTGACCACATTGGACTTGGACTGAGGATCTTTAAGATCTTTGTCCGGAAGACGAACTTCCATCTTCCTGTTACGGGAGATGTTGATCTTGATGAACTCTACATCCAGGTTTAGCATGTCTCTCCGGGCCATCTCAGACAACAAAGTACCATGTTCCTGGATACTTCCTGTCAACAGAAACAGAGTCATGAAAATGAGCTGAGACAGTTGTAAAAAATTTGAATAATGAATTTTAGTTTCACAAAGTGTAAATGTCTCCCAAGAAGTGTTAAAGAAGTGAGTTTTCAGGATGACTGAAGTCTTATAAACCCTTTCACCACTGTAAACCATAATGGACTCATCCTTATCAATGCATGGGAGAGTCTACTAAAGTTACATAGGGCTGAAAGGGTTCATGAGGTTCAACTTACAGCAAAACTGTATAATATTTCCATCAGAAGTTTCAATTCAAGGGAGGTAAGCCTCATAATTAAGGTCGTTGTACAGATCACTTTCAGGTTATCATCTGATCAGAACTATTCATTTAGTCATGTGACTCATAATATAAAATCTGATGGGTACCTAGCTGAGAGTGACGGCTTGTACTGTACACTGGCGAGGCCATCTTCCTCTGCATACCGCCGTAAGGGTGAAATATATACAGGGAGAAATCGGACAGACCCAAGCTGATGTTAAGTCCCCCCGTCATTGTGGATGGGTCGGCACTGGACGCAGTACTAGCTGTCCTGGGGCGAGTTTCTGGCCCTCCTTTACCTCCACTCAGGTTCCGCTCACGATTCAGCTTCTTAGGCGCTGGACAGAGGAATTATCAAAATAAATATAAATTAAGAATGAAGGAATAAATTATTATGTGCGTAAGCTGGAATTGACTCTTGTGATTGTTACTTTGTTTCCTGACTGAATTTACAGCTATGTGGGTTTTCAGTAAACATATTAGCAAATCTTATGTATTATTTGCCAGGTTTTATTTACAGCTATGCTGGGTCTCAGTAAACATATTTGCAAATCTTATTTATTATTTGCCAGATTTTATTTACAGCTATGCTGGGTCTCGGTAAACATATTAGCAAATCTTATGTATTATTTGCCAGATTTTATTTACAGCTATGCTGGGTCTCAGTAAACATATTAGCAAATCTTATGGATGATTATCCAGCTTTTGCCTATTATAATAAATTACATTCTTTTTTTATCATAAGTACTTCGCTGAAGCAATATTTACTTAACCTAGACTTGTAAAACTGATTCCTTCTAATATTGATATTTGTGTAACTGCAAATATTGACTCTCCCCCAACAAAAAATGTAATGAAGTGTTTCTATTCTTTTTCCCCCCTTACATTGAGAGGGGGTGTAGAGAGTTGGATTAAGGGAAAAAGAAATTTAGAGAGAATGAGTTATTTTGTGTGAGGGAGCTGCATGGTATACATACCTTCAGGGTGAATGACCTCTGTGTCAGATCCCTTGCTTGAGAAGACAAGCTCCAGGGATGGTACCTGTAGCAGACATTCCACTCGTGACACGGGGAGGCAGTTGAAGCGAATGATGGAGGGATCCACGCGGATGAAGACGATGACGTCGACAGGGAAGGAGTAGTGACTAGCGGTGGCGTACAGGGAGTTGTACGATCCGTCCAGGTCAATGTTCAGCATATTCTCAATGATTTCCGCTGTAACAAGGCAAAATACATTGAGTGGGATATTAGTATTAAAGAACTCTCAACAGACCATGAACACCATGAGGTCATAGAGGGCCACAAGGTACAAAATGTGTAATGTGTTAACTATAGGCAAAACGAAACGTTATAGATTTGCTTGTTTCATGCTTTTAAATATCCTCCAAATAGCTAAGATTACATGAAGATAGGTGTCTAGGAGGACAATGCCGAAAAGAACAAAGATCCTCAAGTCTTTCAATAGGAGCAGCAGATTGACTTTGGTCTTTTTAATGTCCCTCCTAAACAGAAGAAAACCCCTGATTCTGCAGAAATTGTCTCTTTTCAAAGGAATACAGCAGGTCCATCCTTTCCCCAAACCTGCACAGGGAATGTTGAATGGTAGAATCAGAAAAGATAAATGGTACCAAGCTTGGCAATGGTTATTTCAATTTCCCCTAATGAGAGAAACCTCCGATTCTGCAGGGGGTTTCCTTTTCTGTTGCTTCATAAGATAATGAAGTGGGATATAGCAGGTCAATTCTTTTCTTATTCCCTTGTCACCTACAGGAGAAATTGACTATGGCTATGAACAACACTAAACATACGATATCCAACCTGAGTTTAAAGGAGAACCTACTTTTCTTGCTGGGTTGGGAGGGTGTGGTGTTGTTTCCGATAGGTAAAGGTTCCAGTGCCTGTTCCAGGAAGTCCAGCAGACACGGGCTTATAACCATTTCCTGTAGACGGAACAAACACAGGATTAGGTCAAGCAATAGTATTTTCACAGTGTGAATCTTTTTATTGTAAGTATAATTCTCCCAGTTAAAAGCAAAAACCATGACTGAAAATTTCACATTTTACAAAACTCTGGTTGACATGAATAACACTAAATGAATTGCTAAATGATCTGAAAAAAAATCGTTGTAACATCCATCAGATTTCAATGAAACATCTTCATTAAATTATTTATTTTCATCAAAGTATAATACTATGCTAACAACTTCCTTAACTTTATACAGTGAAGTACAACAGACAAGGTTTTGGAGATATCTCTAGTGATCAGGAAGAAAAAGCATCTTGCAATAATATTGGCTGTTCTTGACAACACAACATTACAATAGGTAACAGTTGAATCATGAACTGTATATGTGTAATATGGTAAGTTTCAAGTAGTATTAAGCATCATAGTTTTTTGCAAACTGTTAAACTGATTACATTGGGGAAATTATCACCAATTTTTCTGAAATCTTCGATTGATACACGTATATAATTGTTTGAGGATATTTTCAAACTAGTGAATCAACAAAGAAAACATGAGCATTTACACTTTTACAGTGACACTAGGTTACATATTCAGATTTTCACATTTCAAAGCACCTATTCCAAATATAGCCCAGTTTATAGCTCCTTGAAAAAAGATGTCAAGTAAGGAAAACATAAGAGTAGTTAACACTGCATAGCCTACCTCTGGTAAGGATGACAATGAAATCCAAGCGTACAAGTTAGCACGTTTGAAGTTGGCCCTCTTTCCGCTGTATCCCGACGTGTAACTCTCCTTACTCTCCACACTGTCCGTACTGACAAGTTTCGGGTACGGGCCATGGGGACCTTTTCTCATCATCACTACGTGGATATCCTCCCCTGGGGAATCTTCCATAGGAGTGGCCTGAGGTTGTAACCCCTGTGACCCCTGTGACCCTTGTTGACCCTGTGACCCTGGTGTTCCGCGAGCCGAGTCAAACATACTGTCCGACATACCACCGCTGGTCTTGGAGTTGTAATGCACCTGTAGGGTAGCAATAACACATTTCATACCAATATCAGTAATACTTAATCTTTACTGCATTCTAAAACTAAAGAAATTATTGCCCCACTTGTCCCATCTCCATGTTAATATCTCAAACATAAGAATCCAAATTTCAATGGTTGATATAGGGAATTAATCTAGATTTTTCCATTACTCATGCAATCGTGACTGGGGAGAAATTTACTTACACATCACATGAGTGTCTGTAGCGAAGCACAGGTCGTTCAAGTGAGGTGTTAAGATTCGTCACGTTTGTTTTATGTATCATTCACGGATATGAAAGTAGCCCTTCATGCTAATATTAAGAGCTATTTTCTAGGTCACATGTACTGCTTTTAACCAATTACAGAACTTGTAACAAAGCACAACATCAAATTTGGAATTATATAAAAATTATTTATTAAGGAACTAGTCCTTATACTACTAATACATCATATATATGCAAATAAATCTTTCATAAAACCATTTGTCCAGCAAAGATTTTGAAGTGGTAAAGGATTAAGCTATACATATCAAAAATGACTTTTGTAAGGAAAGAGAAAAGGGGACAATGATGAAATATTACATATGATATCTCCGTTACAAGATTTTTATAAATTGAATAGAAAATTCAACTACAGAAAATGTGAGCAAGCTCACAGAGATATATCCCCCCCCC